AAGCTTAAAAAAAACCTTGCAACCGATTGATGTTATTTATTTAAACTGCGTAGCCCGAGATCTCGAAGAATACTACGATATCGGACGACATTTCGTTCATGTTCCGTCTGTTTAAATGCGACATCGGTGCGAAGTGCATCTCATTCGTGCTGATACAGGTAAACGCAGGAGACGACGTGGTCCTGCTCTGCTGATCTCTATTTCAAATTGGCCATCCCTCTGCTGCAGACGGTCGTGCTGCACCATTCCCGCGACTTGAGCCTGCTTGTTGGAGCTGTACTCCTTTACTTACGCTCTTTCTCGGGACCGAAGGGCAAGCACGTGTCCAGACAAGCCGTTCTTCTTTGCCACGGAGCAAGCTTCATCTTCTGCATGCTTTACTACATCGGGCACAGCGTAAGCGCGTCCCATATCGACTAGTTTTACCTCTGCGAATTGGGCCGAGCCTTTTACATTCTGTTCATATCTTCCAGAATTTGTATTTCACGGACTGGAGATCCGTACGCATGATCGTCTACGGCCTGATGCCAACCATGCTCACCAGTACGATCCAGGAAACGTTTGTGCACATTGTCTCAGCCTGCGTGGACTTTGTGGCGGCCGTCGCGGACGGTGTGCAGGAGCACGTCGACGCACTCAAGCGGCTTGAGGCGCGCGTGCAGGCGGGGTCCGCACACCGGCGCACCGGGAGGGTCACCGCAGTCACTGAGAGTCTCCACGCACTAGACGAGCTCGGCGGCGAGCAGAGCGACGCACGCGTCCTGGCGCTCGGCCTGCGTGCGCTCCGGGTGCGCTACCAGTGCGTGCAAGACGTCGTGCACGCCACCAACTCGCTGTACGGCGGGTTCAACGTGATCACCATCACCACCTCGTTGATCCGGGGAGTGGTGTTCCTGTACTGCGGCGTGCTGATCACGATAGTGTTTGCCGGCAACCTGGTGTACTATGGGGATGGCATTGTCGTTAACAGGCCGGACGGAGCCTGGCTCCTGGGCTGGGGAACTGTGGTCATCGGCAAACTAATATTCATCTGCGCCATTGGGCAACAGATGAGCTCTGAGGTCAGTTTGGGAGGATTGAGCACAAGGCTTGGTGTAGTTCAGTTTAAGTGAGCCATCCTCCGGTCTATTTATTGCAGAGTTCTAGGATCTCGGACACCTTGCAGATGGGGATAACACACCACCCTGACATGGATCCCTTAATTGAACAAGAAGTAAGAGGCTGGCCGTTTTCGTCACACCTGGTCATACCACTTGCAAGACCTATGTTTTAATCTGTTTCTCGTGAGTTTACAGATTCAGTGGTTTATCCACCAGATACGAGTACAGGACAT